ACACACACACACACACACACACATATGATTTTTTTGAGTGTATAGCAAATATGACAACAAAGTTGAACAAACACCGACACCCTTTTTTTTTTTTTTTTTTTTTTTTTTTTTAACTCTGCACGTACCCTGGTAGCTTCGCTTGCGCGTACCACAGCGGGGGGTGCGCGTTCAGTTTTCTCCCCATATTCGTGGCGTGGCGCTTTTAAATGTGATTGAACGCGCAAACATGGGTTGAACGCGCAAACATGGGTTGAACGCGCACGTTTGAACGTGAACGTGCGTTTGGTGCGCTCACACAGGCACATAGGTCAGAATTTCTAACCAAACTTGAGTTAAAAGTCAAAAACTATCAAAAAAGCTTAAAAAAGGTAATCAATTGTTAATAATTGGAAAAATGGGTATGCCTAATAAATTATTATAGAGATAGACCATATCTGGACCGGCGGACCCCCCCCCCCCAAAAAAAAAACAGCCCTGACAAACCCCCAAAAACAATTTTGGGGGCCCAGCTCCTCAGTGGGGAAGGGTCCCGGACCTCTTTCTTTTTCTTGAAATTTGGCAGATCCAGACCTTCCAGACCGGAGGTCTGGAGTCCAGACTGAATCCAGACCATCTGGACGGTGGTCCGAATATCTGGACGTCCGGATCGTAGCCATGATAAAAACAAGACTGGCTACATTATGAAAAAAAAAAGAAAAGGATTGGCTACATAAATTAGAGTAAAAAAGATTGGCTGCATTTATGGTGGTTTCGAGGGCGAGGTGCACAGCAGAAAGCAGAGAATGTGCTTTGGATCTCCAAGCTGAAGCTGAGAATAGAAGAGACAATGAGAATCAATGTGGTGAAAGCCGGCAAGTGCTTGAGGGAGGAACTGAGGACCTCCAATACATGCTCCTCCACTGCCGGTTGTCTATGTTTTTTTTGGAGGGGTGGCGAGGAGGTTCGGTCCCAGTGCCGCAGACCTCCTCGAGATGGTCAGATGATTTCGTCTTTCCGGGGAATGTGTCTCGCCGGCAAACAGCCATTGGACCCCTGGGGTATGCAGAGGAAACATTGCGGGGCGCTGTGCTTTGGACTCTTTGGACTCTCAGAAACTCCGCAGTCAGAAGGGGAGAAAAGCTTACCCCCCCAATGATAGGAGCGGAGGTCAAATACAATATCAAGCTGGCTATGGGCCTCGCTGCACTACTCTCGAAATGTGCAAAACGAGAGTGAATCTTCCACTAGATTAGGAAAGATACACCGCCATGATTTTTGTCTGTTGTGCCTGTCGAGAGTAGTGCAGCGACGCCCTATTACTACAGACTGGACACACAAAATGGTACAAAGGATACCGGACTTCACCAGCGGGACCTCCATCGGATATAGACTCTTATCCCGAATCTGCTGAAGGCCCGTCCTGAAGGTTGGTTCTCTCTTTTTTTTTTTTTTTGTTAAGGACAGGAAAATTAACAAGCCTCTGTGCATTG